TAGCAAAGAAAGTAATTTCCCCGTACAAACACAATCTGTAAGGTTCATACCACGAATCCTGCATATCAATGCTGCAGCAGAAATATGACTGCATCCGCAGGGGATTGAATGAGGAGAGTCACAATAGCGTAGTTGATCGTTGAACTATGCTACAAGCCGGAAGGTCGCGGAATCGAATCCTAATGAGGTGGATTTTTTTTCAATTTACCTACTCTTTCCAGCCCACCATTGCCCTGGGGTCGACCCAACCTCTAACTGAAATGAGTACCAGGAATCTTCCTGAGCGGTAAAGGGCGGCCGGCGCGTAAGGCTGACAACCTCACCGCCATCTGTGAGCCCACTGTCTAGAAAATGTGGGAGACTCGAGGTCTCACAACCCTATGGGCCTCCACGACCTGTTACAGGGGTGGCTTTATTTTACATAAATGAACAGAGAACACAACCACATAGTTAACCACCTTAATTTCTACATGCAATTCTAATGATCCCCACCCTATGTAACTTCACTCCCTTAGGCCGCGCCATAGCTCAAGCGGTTAGTCGCTGGCTTCCCACCGCGGCGGCCCGAGTTCATCCCGGGTCTGGTCACGTGGGATTTGTGGTGGACAAAGTGGCGCTGGGGCAGGTTTTATCCGAGTACTTCGGTTTCCCATGCCAATCTTCATTCCACCAGTTGCCCCACAATCACCCTCACCTATCATCTGGGGCTGGTACAATAGGTCAGAAGTGACCGCAGTACAAGGGACTTAGTCCCACCCCACTAGAAATAAAAACAAAACTTCACTTCCACGCTGCCGATACGTAACTCCTTGCTATTTGATAATGGCGGCCTTGCCTCTCCTAATTTACTTACTCCATGAAGCATAGTCGCTGAAAAGATGACAATCACTCAGGTGGTCAAGATATTCCTCGCTTCTTATGGAACCGGAAAGTTCAATACCGTCTTCAAAGAACCTGACACCAAACCCCCTTCTAAGCGAGTCAAATCCTCTGCCTCTCTACATTTCTTTATCGCCTATTTTCGTATTTTATCTCATATCAGCATCTACATTTCCCAAGACGTTCCTTTCTTTCAGGTTTCCGAATAAAATATCTGTACACATTTTCCATCCCTCCTATTCGCGCTACATGCACTGTCCATCCCATTCTCTCTGATCTGACCACCCTCTCCTAATTTACACGGTAGCGGCACTGAACAGGATAATTAGCCGGAGCGTTGTCATTATTTTATCCGAAATAAAAATAGGAAAGACAACTCGAATGTTTCTTAGTAGCGTCCTAAATCCCAAAACCTGCAACAGATTTTACAGGCCTGTGTTTCAGACTTCACGTCATTTTAAACTTCATGAATCCCCACTTCTTCACAGTGTGTAGCTGCTACAACGCTCTTACTGCTCGTCTTCAATCTTCTTCGTACCATCAGCGTCATGTTCATTACACTAAATATTTTTACTTAGACAACGCGGATGAACATTTCCTTCGCGTTTTCACTCTCAGATGTCTCGGCAATGAAACAAAACGACGCACACTATAATTGGACTGCTGCGGTAAACTGTGCTGGTTTGCTGCCAAGCCAGTGCTTCCGAGGGAAAGCGAAATGGAGGCGTTCTTCCTACAATCCAAGACGCAGGTTAGTGTAACTCTGGCCACGCCGGGAGGAAAGTCAGGCCTTAACATAAGATTACTTGCTTTCGGTTGTGGACGTTCGTGTGGCTTGTTATTTCCTGAAATGAGCTCTGAACTAACTTCATGGAGCTGAGCCTTCTTAAGAAGCCGCCAATTCCGCAGCCACTCAAGAACTTCCCAGCATTTTGTGGAACCCAAAGGTTCATTCCCGTGTTCACAAGAGCTCTCCACTGGTCCCTATCCTGAGCCAGATCAATCCAATCCATATTATCCCATCTATTTCTCTAAGATCCATTTTAATATTGTTCATCCACCTACGTCTTGATCTTCCCAGTGGTTTCTTTCCATCTGGCTGTCCCACCAATATCCTATAAGCATTCCTCTTCTCCCCATTCGTGCCACATGCCCTGCTTATCTTATTCTGCTTGACTTGATCATTCTAATCACGTTTGGTGAAGAGTACAAGTTATGAAGCTCCTCATTATGCAGTTTTCTCCAACCTCTTGTCACTTCATCTCTCTTCGGTGAAAATACTCTCCTCAGCACCCTGTTCTCAAACACCTTCAGTCTATGTTCCTCCCTTAATGTCAGAGACCAAGTTTCACACCCATACAGAACTACACGCAAAATTATAGTTCTGTGTATTCTAATTTTTGTTTATAGACAGCTTTGATGACGACTTCAATAGAATGACTGGGATAAAAGTTTCATTTCTGATGATGACAACAAAGCACATAGGCTATAACCTCGTTCAGCCATTGTTACTTAACGCCGTCTGCTTCGCCCATTCTACGCTGCATGTACTCAAGTCAAGTTATTCGGCCGGGCAAGAAACTGCCGTCTTGTCAGAACAGTGTGCATAACGCACGTCATAGGACAGTAAGAGTTGGTTACACACCCTCGAACCTTGTTCCGCTGCAGGTCGTGGCCGTGCCATAGCTCAGTTTCCCACCTCGGTGGCCCGGGTTCGTGCTCAGGTCAGGGCATGTGGGATTTCTGGTGGACAAAGTGGCACTCGGGCGGGTTTTCTCCGAGTACTTCGGTTTCCCCTGCCAGTTCTCATTCCACCGACTGCTCCACACCCACTATTTATCTTTCGGAGCTGGTACAATAGGCCAGTTAGTGCCCGACGTATCACGTGGACTCAGTCTCAGCCCACTCCAAGAAACTAAAAAAAAACCTACTTAAGATCATGTTTAATGTCGGTCCTCCATCTGGCCTACGTTTAAGACTTTAAAGTGGTATCCGTCCATGATGTTTTCCGACTGAGGTGCTGTATACATCTAACTCCCCACCGCGCGTCTTCTACGTGGTAAAAGTAAAGTATAGGTATCCCTGTAACAGGTCGTGGAGGCCCATAGGATTGTGAGACGTCGCCCTTTGCCCCCAAGAAGATTCCCGGTACTCATTTCTGTTATAGGCTGAGTCGACCCCAGAGTCATAGTGCGGCTGGAAGGGTTGGGTCAATTGAAAAATCCAGTGACCTCATCGGGAATCGAATCCGAGGCCTTACGGCTTGTAGTATCTGAACCAACTACGCTACCGCGTAGCTATCCAAAACGTTCACAAGTGCAGAACCACACAAGTGACTGCTTCGCATGCAAATACAGAAAAGTCACAACGCTGTTTCCTCTGCAGTGGTCAGTTATAGAAACGGGTTTTGTGTGAATGTGTCATTTACATACCAACGACATGCATTACAATTCTTGTACATTTGCTAGGGAAAACTCCATTAAGTAGCGCAAGTATAGTGAAATGCAATGACTGTATATTAAAGCAGACAGTAATATTTTACCGTCTTCAAAACTGTACTATCACCGTGAAATAAGTGAAAGGATAACAGGCATACAGACGAAGTCGATCTCAGTTTTTCAACAATACCCGTCTCATATTTTCCACTAGGTTCTATAGGCGTATAACACCTTTAAAACAATTCAGTAAGAAGCATTACTTCAAGAAGCGAAATTACAAAATCCTGTCACAGTTGGCCGAATCGTATCGTCATCAAATAACCAATAATCAATTACTGTGTGAAATCGGTGAATTAGGACCAGGTTTAGACCTTATTACGAGTATATGACGATTTTTCTGTGAGAGGGGAAGCCAAACAATCGTGACAACGCAGCGTGCCTCGGTACTTTCGTTTCCAGCGCCAACGGGGGCAATATTTAGAAATCCCAGCCTAAACAAACAGTAAACACAGCACATAAGCTGCGGAACATACACACTTTGTTTGCAATTGCGAGAAAAGCTGACGTTTTTAAATCTTCTGCAGCGTGAGACGCAACTGCGCTGCGTTTAGTGATAATCTATAAATGGAATAGGCCACTCCTGTCATTAACCAAATACTTTGAAGAGAGTCGAAATAGCCGCCTAACTAGTCAAATTATTCCCCGCATTTTACGAAAAGCCGAAGATTCATTATCTTTTTCTTGGCACTACAGCCCCAGTGGGCCTAGGCCTACCTCCATAAACTTCTCCGTTCACTTCAGTTTTTCTAGATCTTACATTCGGTAGGACTCCTTGGGCGACTGATCAGCTCGTCGCAAGGTCTCTACCTGTAGACAAACACAGAAAAACGCACACAAACAGCCATGCCCTGAGTGGGATTCGAACCCACGATCCCGGCTTCGAGGGAGCGAAGACAGTACATGCCTTAGACCGCTCGGCTACCGTGACCGGCCGAAGATTCATTACCACGTACACATAGATCGGCCGCTGAATCATAACCTGAACCAGATAAATCCATATAAATTGTCCATTTTGTTTCTGTCTCAACACAACAACCACTGGACTCTCCTTCCCATTTTGCTGGTCTGGCAACCCGCTACACGTTGCGGCTCATAAAGCCATCATCGGGCAGTGCACATTAACAAATATTTCCGAACTACTGGAACTGCGCTTTGCATAATTCATACATTACAACATAATAACTAGTACTAATGTACCTACGCCGGTCACGGTAGCCCAGCGGTCTAAGACGCATTTTCGCTCGCTCGGAAGCCGGGATCGTGGGTTCGAATCCCACTCAAGGCATGGATATCTGTGTGGGTGTTTATTGTGTTTGTGTTGTCCTGTGTGTAGGTAGCGGCCTTGTGACGGGCTCATCATTCGTTCAAGGAGTCCTACCGTCTGTGGGTTCGAATCCCACTCAAGGCATGGATATGTGTGGGTGTTTATTGTGTTTGTGTTGTCCTGTGTGTAGATAGCGGCCTTGTGACGGGCTGATCACTAGTCCAAAGAGTCCTACCGTCTGTGTAAAGAAAGATGACGAAACTGAAGAAGAGGCCGGGGCCCAACAGAGGGGTGTGCAACCACTGATGAACGAATGGATTTGAGTACTAGCTAGATACACTAACTCTGAAAATAATTACCTGTTGTAGAGGTGGTATACGCGGACGGGCGGTGAGCCACGTGGGGGTGCTGGCCGACGATGCCATGGAGCAAAGCCTTATGCTCTGCGGGCTCTCGCTTGACTGGCGGTGGGGACGGTGATGTGACGCCCAGATCAAGAAGTGAGTGTGAGCCCGGCACTGCTGTGTCCACTGCAACAGAAATGCAAATATATCTTCTTTAACATCGCTTTCTCAACTGACTACAGCAACGAATATGATGCGAGGATGTTAGTGATAAATCGGAACGGATCTGGAAGGAAGAGGTCTTACCCAGTTTAGTCCATTCCCACCCATTGGGGACCTCGATGCGGGGTGTTTCAAGGTTACTGAAACTTAGTTCATAATAATAGTTCAAATTACATAGCCCAGTGGCATTTAAATGGACCAGCAGAACCGCAGTGGATTTAAATTTGACCAGAAATAGCCGGGGCACCGCTCACTCACTCATGGAGCTGAGCCCTTCTTGATAAGCCGCCAACTGTGCAGCATTTTATCGAACCCGAAGGTTCATTAACATGTTCACAAGAGCCCTCCACCGTTCCCTATCCTGAGCCAGATCAATCCAGTCCATATCATACCATCCTACATCTCTAAGATCCATTTTCATATTGTCCACCCACCTACGCCTTGGTCTTCCCAGTGGTCTCCTTCCATCTGGCTCTCCCACGAATATCCTATGTGCATTCCTCTTCTCCCCACGACTTTCCGAAATTTTAATAGATGAACTAAAGTAAATATCGAACACCCTCAGTCCAGATAGCCAAGAACTGAACCCGGGACCTCACCAATTCAGCGACGACATTCGGTGACTTATCATATTGAATTCGAACCAACATAAGCTTGCTCAGGTAATGTGGTCTGGGTGTGTATGGCAAAGCCTCCGGTTTCCTGCAGGAGTACTGACAGCAACTGACACCCGCCAGCTAACGCACTCCATGGATCGAAGTCCGTCGTGAGATGGTAAGAGCTGTTCAGCTGTTCAAGAGATTCTTCGTTATTGCCATTTTGTACTGTAGCACCCCATGGGACAACAACAGTCCAATCCGCTGCTCTGAGGCGTGTATCAATGTGGTACATTCCTCATGATGCAATACGCCCCTACTCACCCCAGACATTCTCCTCGGCACTGTGCTCGAAAATTCTTTCGTTTTAGGGTAAAGTCAGCCGGGAAATGTTCCCTACAGTGAAGAGGTTTCAGAATGCGTGGTGCCATACTGAACGTCGCAGCAAAATTATCTTAGTCTGCTGCTTTTCAACGATCCATGAATTCTAGCGTAACCCCCTAAGATACAAAAGTAGGCCTCCCGCTTTCTACTCTGAAGGAAAACAGTTGGGCACAGTGCAGGAGGGCCTTGGTCCACATTCCACCCGGGCTGCACGCAGACTGCATGCCGCTAACTCGTAACAGTTCCCTAATAGGCTCTTGGCATATTGACATAGGCCTATATGCATATGCCGTCCAGTCTAAGGCATGCACTGTCTTCGCTCGCTCGGAAGCAGGGATCGTGGGTTCCAATCCCACTCAAGGCAAGGATCTTCGGTGTGTGTGTGTGTGTGTATGCGTTTATTCAGTGTTTGTGTTGTCCTGTGTGTAGGTAGCGGCCTTGCGACGTCCTGATCACTCGTCCAAGGAGTCCTACCGCCTGTGAAAAATGATTACGGAACTGAAAAAGAGGCTTGGGCCCTGAATGGGCTGGAAGAGCTAATGAAAAAAAAAATACGTATATAATATGCCGATCACAGCGGCCGCGCGGTCTTAGGCATGAGCTGCCTTCGTCCGCTCGAACACTGGGATCGTGGGTTCAAATCCCACTCTAGGCATTGATGTCTGTGTGCGTTTATTCTGTTTGTGCTCTCCTGTGTAAGTAGCAGCCCTGTGACGGGTGACCCCCCGTCCAAGGAGCCCTACCGAATGTGTAAAAAGATCAAAAAACTGAAAATAGCGGCCAAGGTTCAACGAAGGGCTGCAGACCCACAGACAGATACGTATATAATTATCTTATGTTCAAATATAGCAGTAAAAATATACACAGGGCACATATGTATATAATTGTGCTTTATGTTTAAATGGCAGTTCTGTTCGACTGGTTTACTACAATAAATTTGCAAATTATTTTACCCTGCACCGTTGGTTTGTGCAGTTGAGATCCAGGTTCCAGAACTTCAGAGCCCAAGAACTTTCGGATAGGGGAACGACAAGTTTGTAAAGCAGCAACAGAAATTATATCTAAAATTTTTGCATGAACTTCTCTCGAAACAATTCCCCTCGGTTTTTCAGATGGGCCATTTCATGTAAACAATTGTCTGGAATGGGAAAGATTCTAATACGAAGCTTTCCAAACAAAAATGACAAATAATATACGTTTCAGAAAGGAAAATACGTGGTGATGAAGATGATACAGGCATTCAAACAAAAGAAACAGATGGTGCGAAAATGTTCAAAACATTCTCGAAAACCAGTAACCCCCAAGGAGTTCCGAATTAAGGACAAGGAAAGAATGCTTCGAGGCATATAAAGCGCTGAACTGATAAAATCTGACGTTAATGGGAAAGCTTCTGGCTAGTAAGCCTATTCCTTGAAGCAGAAGATTAGGAATATTGCGTACTGCTACTACAACTTCGAGCCGTCCGGAATGACTTCCATATTTTCCATTGTGGCCGTGCTGTGGAAAAGCTGCGCACCCCTAGTCCTATACAAATGGATCTACGATTGATTATGTACAAAACAATCATGGAAAGTTGTGTTTTACTGCCCGGTGATCCCATTTCATGTTCCGTCTGTGCTTGTTCACATTCTAACACTGTCCTAGTTTGGATCATCTATACCGAACAAAAGGTAATAAGAAAGATGACACCCGTTCTCTTCTCTTTCCGGTCACTAATTGTGTCAAAGCGATACCGGATGAAGAAGAAAAGTCATAATAACGGATTTAGGAAAGCGAAATGTCTAACGGCTATGCGTTGACTCGTTCAACTTTCATTTCTTCTCCTCTCCTCTTCCGCGTCCATCCATCCTGCGCGCGCAGCCACAAGGTTACCCCACTTGTCGGACATAGACCTTAGAGAGGAGATAACCTTGACGAGATAGAAAGCGACAGAGTCGACGCCATGTTGCCACGTACTGTGCAACTCTTTGACGTATGTGAGAACAAACAATGCCAACATGGCAACACCGTTCAATATAAATCACTCTCCAGCACACGCAAACAAGAATTGCCCTTGACGACGCCCAGGAAGTTGTTCTAAAACAAACGACGGGCACAACGCCATCGTAATGTGATCTGCTTTACACTGACATTCTTTTACAAAATGAAAATTAAAACATAAAGAGTAAATTTAGTAAACAATGTGGTGACTTCCGCGAGGTACTGAGCGACCCATTACGCCATCCGATGACGTCACTGACAGCTTAGACTAGCTGCGGTGATGAGGGATGGCGCTACTTTACGAGTTAAAAATGCACAAAACATCGGCGTACTTAACGAATTCGTTAGTATGAGTTTGAGAGAATGGAATGTTTCCAACGATATTATCGTGTGTAACAAATGAATCCTTGACAGCGGCTGTGTCCCTTGTAACAATCTACTCGTATGCAACGTGGGTCCTCCGAAGAACCTCAGCTTTTCCCAGAGCGCATCCAGAGCAGAGTCACTGGATCCTTCCCCTGGCCAAAGTTCCACGAGCATAAACTCCGTTTCCAGTACACATTAACTGACACTGCTCGACCTGTACCTTGACATCCTGTGGGTATATCCTCACCTCGCTCACCATGAAATCAGAATCATATCCTACAGCATTTATTAAACTGAATAACTGTTCAACAAATGTTATTATGGTGGTCAAATCAAAAGGGATGATGGACGGGGCATGTAGCAGGTATGGGAATATGAGAAACGCATTCAGGGTTCTGAGTACAAAACCTCCAAGGAAAAGACAAAGTGGATAAGATAATGGGATGATAACACTGAAATTGCAGAAGTAAAAAAAAAAAAGGTAAAGCAGGCCGTGGGGGCCCTTAGGATTGTGAGATGTCGAGGCTCCCACATTTTCTAGACCTTCAGCTCACAGATGGCGATGAAGTTGTTAGCCTTACGCACCGGCCGCCCTTTAACCCCCAGGAAGATTCCTGGTACTCATTTCTGTTAGAGGCTGAGTCGACCCCAGGGCCATAGTGCGGCAGTAAGGATTAGATCAATTGAAATGATGCACCTCGTCAGGGCTCGAACCCGCGACCTTCCCGCTTGCAGCATAGTACCTCAACCAACTACGCTCCCGCGTACCCCAATACTGAAATGGAATTTAAATAAATAGGATGCATGTGGTATGAATTCAGAACAGCTCACGTCAGTGGCGGACTCTGTCAACTCGGTAAACAAGATTCACGTACCAAAACAAGATGCAATTTCTTTACCTAGCAACAGACTATGTCCATCAGCTTCTCAATAAAGGCCGTGCACAACACAGTTTAGTGGTTGGTTACTTAACGAAATACTCGTGTCTCACAGTTGCCAGGCGATTTCCTGTTGGCAAGCAAAAGGAAACTAAAAAGAAAAGCAAATGACAGTGCAATTGAAATTATTCCAAACGGCGCTACTATTTATATGTGATCGACTAACACAGTTTCTGTGCGTTCTGGGACGTTCCATTCGCATCAGTGTATCAATAACATCAACATACGTCACAATTTTGTAAACCCTTTCAGCCCAACTCACTAATTGGTCCATTCAAACATTCCTGTCATGCATTAGGCCTATTCTGTCGTCGGCTCCACGTCTTCACACTGCAGGGCATAAAGCGTTAAGGGTCAGAAGCCAATTAAACCCATTCCTTTGCCTAAAACGATGAGTGCATATAAAGTAATAAACGGTTCCGGGATTCATGCCTGGCACATATTTAATGTTTGTCTACTGTTCGCTAAGCCGGAAGAAACGCAGAGAGTCACAAAATCAACACAGTTCACGCTGACGTGATAAGATAACACACTGGCTGCTGGTCATCTGCCATTAGACAGAAACTGGAACAGGAAAATATTTCGGAAAGTCCACCATCAGTCCAAAGAGCGCACTGCTGCAACGGCAAACATCAGCTGCAATAAAGTCCAACAAACTGCTCGGGCGTGGCGACCAGTGCTGCTCCGTGGGGGGGGGGTC